CCAACTTTGAAAAGGTTTTCCCTTAAGCCCAGCAACTCCCCTTCTCTGCCCTAGAAGTGCATTAGTTAGGGGGGGAAAAAGTAAAATAGAACTGACTTCCAAATGAATCACTTGGGGCCGGGCTAAATGGCTCCCTTACTGTAGAATACTCTCAGCCACTTAAAGTGATGAGGTGGGTCACAACAGAGGCGAGGTGGTATTTCTCACCCAGTGGAATAACAAATATGTAAACGTCTATCAATGCTGAGTGCCCAGGACATGCAGAAAGGCGTAACCATTAGGAGGGTAAGTCGGAGCCGCTTTAGAACACAATTTAGTAGCATTTAACAAAACTAAAGATGGACTCATGCCACATCCCACCGTGTCACTCTAGGTATAAATCAGAGAAATTCTTACGTTATATACAAGGGTCTTACTGCAATCTTAGCAAAACTTCAAAGCAGCCTAAATGCTCATCAGGAGGATGGTGGAGCAGTACAGAGCAGTGAAAATGAAGGAGCCAGAATATATTTGAGGAATACACTCTTCACTTCTGAGAAGACAGAACTGTGTGTGTGCGTGTGTGTGTGTGTGTGTGTGTGTGTGTGTGTGTGTGTGTGTATGTGTGTTCTGAAGGCACAAAATGTTTGAAAGAATTTATACCAAGGTAATAGCAGGGATTACCTCTGAGGAGGGCATAGGATTTGGAAGGGATGGGTTTAAAACAGATTTAAATTTTCTCTCTGTAGTCTATTTTTGGAATTTTCCCCGGGGACTCTCCATTGCCAGGAGGAAGCAGTGGTCATCAATGTGCCCTATACTGAAATCAGATGTCACCCCCCTGCCTAGCACTCTTCATGGCTCCCCACTCCAGGGCTGAAAGTTTGACCCTTCAGTCTGGCCTTTGGAGCCTTCTTGCCCCACAGACCTGCCACACAGTTGCTCTTGGGCTAGGTGCTGAGATCAGGGCTTTGCTCTGTGTTTCCTCTGTGTGTGTGTTAGATTGATGTAGAAATGCCCCAATTTTTCAGCCCTGCCTATATAATTTGCAATGTAACTTTGCAGGTCCTCCCATACTCCTTAAATCTGTGCTGGCCTTTGTGACTTTCTTGAACCAATAGAATGTGGTGGAAGTGATGTGATGCTAATCCCATTGGCATATGAACAAGCCCTGACCAGCTTGATGGATGCAGAGAAGCTCATACACCTATCACCCAGCCATCAGCCAACCAACTAATCAACCCTCCAATTAATCACACATACTTGAATCTTCCTAGTGGAGATCAACCAAGTTTGGTCTGGACAAGCAAAACTGCCCAGCTGACCCACAGAGTTGCAAGCAACAATATACGGTGTGTTGTTTTACGCCATGTGGCTTAGGAGCTGTTTGTCGTGCAGCATAAGCTAACTGATACAATCTGCCTAGAAGAATCTTCCTTACCCCCACCTACCTTCTCTGGACTGATTCCTACTCATCCTTTTGGTCTCAGTATAGATGCCACTTCCTCAGAAAAGCCCTCCCCGACTCCCTAGGAGGTTAAGGGCCCCTCCTCTGGTTGCCCAGCAGTCCCCGAACTTGCTGTCTGGGAGCCTCCAGCATCCTGAGTTACAACTCTGCCTTACCTGTCTCCTGCACTAGCCCTTGAGCTTAGTGATGGTGGTGGGGGGAGTATTGAAGGGGAGGGAACAGGGCTATGTCTGCCTTGTTCCTGGTGGTATCCTTGGTACCTAGCACAGCGCCTGGCACACAGTAGGTGCTCAGCACCCATTGCTGTAGAAGCCCCGGTGTCAGAGCCCAGTTGGGCTCAGTGCAGGAAGGCCTGAAAACCAGGTGTGGGAACCATGCCAGAGCAGGAGAAGATACGAGGCAAGGAGGCATATGGAAGCTGGCGCAAACGGGGGCAGCAGTTTTGATCACATTGTGGGGAATTTCCAAGAATTGAGAAATAGAAAAAGACTCAGCAATACAAACATTCCCACAAGCTTAACCCGAAACCCTGCTCCCGGGCTGTGCCAGGATAGAGGTTTGCATTTGGAGGGAAGAAGTTCTAAAATGTGCTGCGTGATCTAAAAATTCTCCTAAGGATTGCCTTTTACAGGGAAATGGTCACTGTGAGGATGAGCCTGCCCAAGAGGAGCGGCGGCTTGGTGTACTGATGTGACTTTTTCACGGAGGCTCGTATGGAGTTTAAGTTTTGCCGAAAATATTTTTTAACATCTGGCAGCATTGAACAGGGCCCACCTGCATGAGAGCTGATAGTTCTGAAGGCGACAGCTCTCAACTTTCTGAAGTACTGATAGGGTGTCTGTTTTGTGTAACTCTAGATTCTGTAGCGTCAGGATATCTGTGACTTTAGGTCAATAAATGCATAGAGGGCAGGGTAGAAATAGAAGTAGCTGCCAAGTTCAATACCTATGTTAATATTTTATAGCCACTACTTTATTTACACATGAAGAAGCAAAGTTCAGAGAGGCCTGCGCCAGATCTCCCTGAGTCCAGACCCTGAGTTGCAACCTGGAAGCTGTGTCAGTTAGGAAACCAGCTGTGACTCCAAAGTAACAGTGGCTCAGACCAGAAGCCATGAGACCATTTCTCACAAAACTCTTCGAGAATACTTTGTGCAGGGATGGGAGGGCAGCCTGGGAGACCTTTCCTTGTGGCTCTGTTGGTCTCGGCCCACAGATTCTACCTCCTGATCCAAGAGAGCTGCTGCCACTCTGGTCATCATGACTACACTCCTGCCTTCAGACAGGAAAGGAGGAAGGAAGTGGAGGACGCCTCAATTCTCTGAAATGTGAGACCCAGAGATTGCAAACATCACTTCTGATTATACTGCATTGGCCAGACCTTGATGTCATGCCACTGCAGGGCAAGGGAAGCTGGGAGATGCAGCCTGGTGCTGGGTGGCAAGGTGCCAGCTAGAACTTGGGGTGACATTACTAAAAGAAAGGAAGGGAATGAGTATTGGAGCAGTTAGCTCTTCCTTCCCCTGTTCCTGAGACTCCTCCATTATTTTAATCTCTTCAATGCCTATCTCGACCACTGCAGGGGCTGCTCCTTTGAACTTGGTTTATGTCTCTGGGAAGGGAACTCACATGTATTGAATGTCTACTATGCATGCATCTTTTATATCGATCATTTCATTTGTCCCTTTAGACAAATCTACCAACTGGGACAATTCTCCCCTTTAAAGCTGAGGGGCCTGAGGCCTAGTGAGGTTCAGAGACTTGGTCCAAAGTCGCACTGCTGGAAAGGACACCCACCATCTCCCTGGGAGAACCTTGGGGTGTCGGGAATGCACATCTCTACTGGGGACAGGGGGACCGGCTGCCATTAGGCCCTGCTGCCTCGAGGGCTGGGGTGGGGTTCACACAATCTCCTCCCGGAGGCAGGATCAGGGATGAGAGGGCTCTGTGGCCTGAGGCTGGCCAGGTCACAGCCCAGAGACTTGGTCCCTCCGACCCATCTCTGGAGCCCCTGGCACGTCCTGGCCTAGGATCCGCTTCCTTAGATTGGGTTGAGTGGAGACATGATTGTATACAACAGGCGATCCATAAACCTGTGGGCTGCAAGGAGCCTAGAGATGAAGTGGATAATATCCTCCTCTCAGGCTGTCAGCAGCTCTTTGCCTTCCTATGCAAGTGCCCCATACATAGCTGTCAAATCAGTTGTAAATTAAAGAAATAAAGAGGCTTTCCTCTCTACCAGGAAAAACCACAGAATGTTCTGGTTTTAGAGTAATTTTTTCCTCTGGATGTGAGGCTGAGACAAACATACCACTCTTCAGAATAAGTGAAATGGGGTGGGGGAGTAAGGGGACAGGGCAGCCTGCAAGGCAGGGCAGCTGAAATGCCACTGTCCCCTCCCACTGCCATGCCTGGCCCAACACAGCACCTGACATGGAGAGTAACCTGCAGGACCAACCATGGGAACCTTCTTTCTTGTGTCCCAATGTGGGAAGGGGGCCTGATCTAGCCAAATATCAGCGACTTTGAGTCCGTCCTCTTTGGGCCTCTGTGTCTCTGCCCACCCTGCCTCCCACCCTCTTCCTTCTGATACCACACCCCCAGGTTTCCTTTGGGCACCTTTCTGTCCCCTCTCTCAGACCATCTGGGTTATGTGGGGTTAATATTGGGCTGCAGGGGCAATCAGGTGACCTAGGCTTGGCCAATGAGGGCCTTACCTGGGAAATTTGCTGGAACTGATGGGAAAGAGAAGCCCACTTTCTGCAGGGCTTGCTGGGCCTGAAACAACTGGCTGCCATTTCTGCCCACCTCTTGGAACAGTCAGCCAACACAGAGAAAAGTGTAGCCAGAAGAGACACAGAAGCCCGATAACATAATCTGAGCAACTGTCTGCAGCTGTTCCTAAAGCCCTGGGCTTTTCGTGTATGGGAACCAGTAATTTTTCCCTTTACTTTCAGCCCTAATGGGAATTTCTGGTCACTTGCAGCCAAAAGAATCCTGACTGACATCACCCAAGGAGACAGAGAAAAGAGGGACAAGGATAGAGGTCCCAACTATTACCTGCCCCAGCCCCACCATGGCACTAGGGATCTCTCCATCTCAGGCCCCTGCCACCCTTTCCCACCTTGAGGATGAGGGTAACTCTTGGGAGCTATACCTCCATCCTCTTTCTCTTGCAGATGGAGTGCCCAGCAAGGTGAACTCTGAGCTGAGGCCCCGGTAATGTCTATAGTCTCCCACAGTGCAGACTGGCCACTGTAGTCTATTATCTCATCTAATCCCCTCAAGGTCTGTTTTAACACTCTCTTTTGCAGATAGAGACTCAGAGAGGTGACAAAACTTGCTTGCAGTTTCACAGGTCACCTGAGTCTCTGTGACTCCAAAGTTGGGACTTTTCCCATTCGTGTGCTTGCCTCCACCCTCCTCCCCCAGCCCCCACACCCCCAGGAGGCTCTGCTGATTGCCCAATCCAGGCATCCAGGGTCAGAGACCAGGTGGATGCTGCCCAGTTTCAATCCATCCTGCAGAAAAAAACCACCACCATTAACACCAAGTACAGGAGCTGAGCTTTTAATGCCCCAATTTGCCTTAGTCTCCAGGCAGGACTGGAGAGAGCTAGAGCTTCCAGCTCTGGTTATGTGAAGAAGGAGGGGTCAGTTACTGAGGCAGCTCAATTCTGATGCCCAGCTTCACAGCAAGGACTCTCCAGAATGGAGAATGGACTGGAGCTGCCAAAGATGGGCTCATCAGCAAGGGTTGGAATCTGGGACCTGTGAACGTCCCCAGGGAAGGTGGGCCCAAATGAATTTCCCACTCTTTGTTTCTATGCTCTTCAAGACAAGGGTGACATTGGAGACTCAGCTCTTTATTAAATGTGGGCAGATGAGCATGGCTTCTAGAAGCTCCATCCTGGCCCAGATGTGCCGTGGCCCGAGTGCTGGGTAGGAGAGCACATGGTTTCCAGAGCTGAGATAAGGGCCTGTCTCTTCACAGGCTGGGGAGGGGAGGCACTGGGCTGGGGCTCCAGGCCAGAGGTGAGACTCCAGACCTTGGTCCCAGACTCCAGTCCGATGTTGTTTCGTCAGGTCTGATGACTGCATTCTACATTCACTCAACTGTCCCTACCTGCAGCCCAACCCCCAGATCTGGTCTGGCCTTGACGCCTGGCTAATTTAAAAAACAAAACCTGGTGAGGCTGGATACTGGGGGTCTGTCCAATCTCAAAATGGTCACTATGAAGAGGAGATGATAATAGCAATTAATTAATTACAATAATTGATGTTATTCATAACATTAACTATAATCTGTACAGCTCCTTTACAAAGTGCTTTCACACACACACACACACACACACACACACACACACACACACACCTCATTTGATCTTCACAGCAGCCATGAATGGCAGGACCAGGGACTCAGGATTCCCATTTCACAGGGAAAGAAGGTGAGGCCCAGGGAGCAAAACAACTGCTCAAGGCCGTCAGCCATGGAACTGCTGCTACTGAGGCGGTTTTCAGAAGCTAGATATGCTCTCCCTGCCCGTCCAGCTCTTCATTCATTCCCCCATTCAGTCCTTCCTCCCTCTATCTAGCGTTTATTTAGCACCTACTGTGTGCCCCACTCTGCTAGATACTTATCCCTAAGCTGGGACACATTTCCAGACAGCAAGAGTTCTTCTGTTCCTGAGAGAGGAGTAGTGGGAAGGAGGGTGCAGATCCCACTGGCCCCTGGGAACTCAGGACTCCAGATCAAGCCGTCCTCATGAGGGGTGGAGAGCCTCGGTAATTTTTTTTTAACTCATGGAGCCTGTGAGACCTGGTCTGACAGGCACAGATCCTGGCGGGCAGCTGTTGCTGGGGTGGGTGTTGGGGGACGGGAGACTCCTACAGTCGGCGGCGAGTCCTTGGCAGGGCTTAGGCCGGTGCCACCTGGCTGGTCTCCGTCTTGGAGGCAGTGGTGGATGCTTCGTCATCACCCAGTGGGTTCTTGCCACAGCAGAGGGTGGTGAGCATGCAGTTCCGGAACTGGAAGGCAAGGGGCATGAGTCAGAGTCAGGGTCACTCAAAGTGTGTGTAGCAAACTGGTGTGGTTGGCAAGATTTGCCTATAACCCCTTCCCGCTCTGCCCCTCACAGCCTTCACTCCCAGGTCAGATCTGGCTCTCTGGAGGGAATTTACTAAACATATGTGACCCCACCCAGTGATGCCCGGGACTAAACGCAAGGGGTTTGTCACTAATGACATTCCGTGATGCCCTCTGTGTGCCAAGGGCAGTCTGTGAATTATCTCATTTAACTCAAGAGTTTGGGATTTTGCCCCTTCTATGGATGGAAAACCTGGGCCCAGAGAATGGAAGTGGTGCATTGCCCAAGGTCACACTGCTAGAAAGTAGCAGAGCTGGGATTTGGATCCAATATGCCTGACTCGAGAGCACATTTTCCCCACTGGATCATGGATTCTGCAGAGAAACCACTGGTCTATGTTAAGGACTGCTTTATCCTTTTATCCGTCAGAATAAGACTTTTTAGCTCTTTTTTCTCCTTGATGGAGACTGGTACCATCCCATTCTCAGGCTTGGGATGTTGACCACTTTACTGTTAAAGCGGGCCTTCAGAACCATCTGACTTGAGTCAGCCCCAGAATCACCCAGAGGACTTGTTAGAAATGCAGGTCTGGGCGGGGCCCAGAATCTGCATTCCTCCTAGATGCCTCTGATGCCCTGAGGGAGACCAACCCTCAGTCCAATTTTGCAGATGGGAAGACTGAGACCCAGTCAAGGATGTGGCTTGTCTTCCACAGGCAGTGCCTGCGGCTTGGGGACCTGGACCCCCCTGCCCCACCACCTGGCACCTGCTTGTTCATCATGATATAGATGACCGGGTTGTAGATGGAGGATGACTTGGCGAAGAATGCTGGGATGGTCATGAAGATAGGGCCAAAGTTAGAGCCCTGGTGGGTAAAGATGTAGAATGCCACGCTGGCGTAGGGCAGCCAACAGATCAGGAACGCAACGACCATGATGATGACCATGCGCGTGACTTCCTTCTCGGCCTTCTGGGTGGTGGCTGACTCCTGCTGCTGGGCAGCCGCCTGCAGGGACACAGGGCCTGGTGTGCAGACTGCAGCAACTCGGGGCCAGGGGCCGGGCTCCACCCATTCAGTGCGTGTGTCCCCAGCACCCAGCACAGGACCATACCTCCTTCACTGTGAAGACCAGCTGTCCGTAGCAGAAGAAGATGACAATCATGGGGATGGTGAAGTGGACCACGAACATGTAGATGACGAAGGACTCGTTGTTGACCTCCGGTTTGAGCGTGTAGTAGTCAATCCCACACGAGCACTGCATGCCCTCTGGGATGTACCTGGTGCCGGTGGAGAACGGGACAGGAGGGGGCATAATGGAGACCCATATATGAGGAGCTTGGGAACAGGTGCCAGCTGACCAGAGTGACCTGCCGTGTGGCTGGCCTTGCTCTGGGCCTCACTTTCCCTCTGTAAAATGCAGGGTTTCTCCCGGACCCGCCGCCCTATGGCAGTGGAGCCAGGCCTCAGGCTATGCAAGGCAGAGGTTGGTGGGGCGGGAGGGAAATACTCCTCACCTCTGTATTTGAGATAGTACAACCTGGGGTCTTACTGAATAACAGGATGAGAGTATTTGCTAGGCCAAAGATGGGCGTACAGGGTAACTAAGAGATATTTGCACAAAAGAGGAGAGGGGGAATGACAGGCCTCTGGGGCATGTGGTTAGAATTTTTTTCAATGATTCTAGAGGACGGTGATATTGCACCAACCTCAGAAAACATGGTGTGTCTGTTGGCTGTGCTTACGAGGATGTAACTGGACCAGACAGAGAAAGAGGCTGGAGGGGGGTGGGCTTGAATTCAGCAATGGGCAGAAAATGACCTCAGATTAGGGGTCATGATTGGACTGGGAGCCCTGCAGGGAGTTTTTATAGAGACTGAGGAGGAAAGGGAAGAGAGGGAATTTCCTGGAAGCAGGGAACACGAAGCCTCTGGACACTCAAAGTCACCCGCCAAGTTTCCCAAACTGCCTCCCCTTTTCCACACCTCTCATCTCAGCCCCATTTGGAGACAATGACCTGCAGGCTGCACAGGACCTGGGTCCCAGGGGCTACAGTGTCACCACCTGCACTAGGAAGGCTCAGTCTCCCCAGGGGCTGAGGCCCAAGGTCAAAGAAAGCTGCCCACAGGGCACTGGACCAAAGAGGATTGGAATCTGGCCCTGGCTTAGTGGAGGATTAGGGGCACAGCCAAGGTGAAGGGTTGGACTTTTTGGATTCTCCTTAAGATGGGGACTCAGGAGGTGGGACCAGCCCCATAGCAACATTAGGGTCTGATCCTTTCTTCCCCTGGCCTAAACCCCAATCCCAGAAAAGTTACCAGCTCAGTGCCTGGAACCAGACAGCCCCAGGGTTGAGTGTGTCTGGGGGACCATAAGAAGACCCCCGGAGACCCATCCCTTCTGCCCAGTGCCATTACCTGGACCAGCCGGCCAGTGGGGGTGCAGCACAGGCCAGTGCCATGACCCACGTGAAGGCGAGGCCCATGATGGCGTGGTTCTCCCCAAAGCGGAAGTTGCTCATGGGCTTGCAGACCACCACGTACCGCTCGATGGCCAGGACCACCAAGGACCACAGGGCGATTTCACCTGCAAGGCAGTCAGCTGTCGGTCAGCATGCTTCTTGACTGGGCTCCACTGTCTATCTAAGGAGGTAGCTAGGAAGGCAACCTGGGGTAGGCCTGGCGTGAGGCCTCAGGGTGGAGCGGGGTTAGATATCGAGAATTGGGAAGGGGTGCAGGCAGAGGGACTGGTCTGCCGGGAGAGTGGAGTAACTCTTAGTTTAGTTCAGTTAGAGCTCTGGGTTCAGGAGGGACACCGAGATCAGATTAGGGATCAGGGGTGGACTGGAAGCCCTGCAGGGAGCTTTTACAGGAGACTGTGTCCTTCCTGGGGCAACAGGCCGAGTCCCTGTTGAGAGGTGTCGCCGAGGCAGGGTAACCAGAGTTGGAAGTCCTCCCTCCCTCTGGAGCAGTGGCCCTTCCCCTCTAGGGAAACAAAATAACCTGGGCATTGCGACCCTCTCTCAGGAGCCAGGAAGATGAATAATGTTTGGCTCAGAGGACCAAGGAGGAAATAATGATGGAGTTCAGACATCGTGCTGCACATCACCACAGAAATTCAGGGAGGAGGGTCATAGAATTTATCAACCAAACTGGACCATTTCTGAGAGTGAAAGGGAACACTAGTAATTATTCCAGGACCATGGTTGTAAATTGGGACTGACCCTGCAGAGAAGTGTCTGCCTGTCTTGCCCCTGCCTTCTGGCCTGAGACGGAATGATCTGTGGTCACTGAAATTGACACCCAGTGATAGCCAGAGATTCCGGGGAATAGGGCTGAGGCAGCGCCTGGACACAATAGGGTGAGAGAAGGCAGGCAGCAGAGCAGTCCTTGTGGTTGGTGTTATGTTCCGGAGGCATGGGCAGGACCAGGGAAGTTCCTGGATCTGAGCCAGGAGACCTAGGGTCTGGTCACTGCCCTGCACATCCTTAAATGAGTCTTCCCCTCTCCATGCCTCAGTTTTCTCATCAGCTAAGTGGGATCTATTGTCTCTGCAGCATTCCTGTGGGTTTTCCAATCAAAGAAACATTTAAAAGCATCTTCCAAAGCTACAGACCACACAGGTCTCATGCCTCCCTATGGGAGGGCTTGTCCGAAGCAGATGAGCTCCTCAACACAAAAAGCATTCATGCGTGGCAGAGGCAGGAGGTGGGCTGGGGAGGGACTCAGCCCTGGCTCAGCGCAGGTAAAGCCCAATGGCTGGAGGACTGAGAATCTGCGCCCCACCCTGAGCGGGGAGCCCTGAGCACAGGGCCTATCTTGTCCATCTCTCTCCCCAGTGCCTGGCATGGGTCTGACCCAGGGCATCTGTTCTGAGGGGAACTGAACGTGCTTGCGGGGCCCACAGAAGTGGGCTTGAAACACAGCTTTGCCCCTGCTGCAAAGTGACTGCTGCCGAGACGTGACCCCTCAAGGCCCTGGACTTCTCAGACTGTTTCCTTGCTTGTAAAGCAAGACAATGGCACCACTCCAAGTGAGATTAAACAGTGCCTAGCTCATCATCACCAAAGTGTTTGTTGATTAAGCGAGAACTTTAGATGATGCCAATGGTTGCAGAGGGCAGGAGGCCTCGTAACCCTCATCCCTAAGCCTGGAACTGTCCCCAGACACCTCCATGCCCCTGGCTCCTGTACCCCCTGCCCATCCGCACCACAACTCATACCGCCCAGCGTGGCAAAGAAGCCCTCCAGATTGCAGCCCGTGGCCCCGAAGACAAAGTATCCATGCATAGAGGTGTAGAGGGTGGTGGTGAAGCCTCCAAAGACCATGAAGAGGTTGGCCACGGCCAGGTTGAGCAGGATGTAGTTGAGAGGCGTGCGCAGTTTCTTGTGCTGAACGGTGACATAGAGCGTGAGGAAGTTGATGGGGAATCCGAGCACGATCAGCAGAAACATGTAGGCAGCCAGCATGGAGAACTGCCAGGGCTCGGCCAGGTAGTACTGCGGGTACTCGAAGGGGCTGCGCACCACGCCCGTCTTGTTGGAGAACGGCACATAGAAGTTGGGGCCCTCCGTGCCGTTCATGGCTGAGGTCCCTGTGGCGGCCCCGTGGGCAGCTCTGACCCAAGAATGCTGCTGGGGCCTGAGCTTGGCCACACAGGGCTCCGGCTGGACAACTCCAGGTCCTGACCCCCCCAGGCCCTTATAAAGTGACCTCCCCTCCCTAAGCTCCTGGCTGAATCAGCACCTGGGAGATTGAGGGCGTTATTAATCATATTAATCCCGGAGTAGGTGCTTTGTGGAAGGGAAACTGGGGGCCTAATTGGCTTCCCAAGAGGGGCCAAGGTGACTCCAGGTGGAAGCCTGGGGTTGGGGAGGGGAGGTGCTGGGGACCCTGGGGAAGGACAGGATGCCTGCCCCCACTCTTGCGTCTCCCAGGAATCTCTGCCCATCTCAGCCTGATGGCCTTGGCCTGACACTGGGACCTCAGACTCCCAGTCCATTCCTCTCTGGCTTGGTGTGAGCTGACTTTGTCTCCCGCCGACTGGACCGTGAGCTCCCAGTGGGCAGGGGCTCTGGTTATTCTCCCAGTCTCTCATGCCCTCACTCAGCCCCTGTCCTCCTTCCCCACCCAATCACCTCCTGGCTCATCCAGGTGCTGGACACTGACACTAGCCCATCTCGCCAGATTTTGAGCTTCATGAGGGCAGAGGTCACATCCTGCCAGATGCGCAGCCTGGCATAGCCCAGGAGCTCAACTGAATGGGGATTCACTCACTCACTTGTTTATCAAACATCCGTGTGCAGGACATTGGGGAAACAAAGATTGAGAAAGGAGGAGCTTACAGGCTGAGGAGGACTCTGATGTGGGAAAAACAGACCCCAGCACAGACAGGGGAGGCACCTGCTGGGCAGAGGCGTCCAGGAAGGCGATGTTTGGGTCTTTGAGGGAGGGGAGCACTTTGCCAAGTTGCCAAGTTGGGAAGATAGCACACACTGAAGACACAGGCTGGGCAGAGGCCTGAGGCCCATCTGGGCTGTGGCTGCACAATGGCTGGGGCCAGTTCTGATACCAAGCTGAGGAACTTGGCTTGATCTGGAGGGCAGTGGGCAGTGGCTTGGGCAGATCTCAGGGACAGAAAGGTGACACGAATGCCCCCATAGAAGGACAGGAGGGAGTAAAGATGGAGATGGGGACAGGGAAGGGGTTGACTGAAGGGGGCGGGGACAAAGGCTCTTGGGGACGCTGAAGCAAGGCCTTGCATCCAGGAGGCAGACGGTGTACCAAGCCCTGTGCTGGGCACCAGATCATTGCCGTGAGTGACGCAGGTGCAATCCTGGCCTCCTGGGGACTCCAGTGTGAAGGGGAGGCAGACCCTGGAAACAGGACTGGTTGGATACTGTGGCACACAGGCATGTCTGGGGACTCTGGTCAGCCTGGGCTAGGACAGTGGGCTCTGGATACCATGGAACCCCACAAGGGTGGGTCCCAGAATAGCAGGACGAGCTTTGGGACCAAATGGAGGCCTGATATTGATAGGCTCCCTTCATCTGTGACAGGAATGCGATGGCACCTCCTAGGAATAAAGGGGGTAGCTGGGAGTGCCTGGCACGCAGGGTGCTTGTCCAGCCACAAATGTGTATCGACCAAGTTGCTTGGCTCTGGGAGACACAGTGGACAAGGAGGACCAAGCCCCTGCCTGCAGGAAGCATTTCATTACAAACAAGTAATGAAGCAAAAAATATATAGGAAAAGTTTAGATCATGATCCACTCCCAAGACACTGTTATCTAGAGCAGCCTGGGCAAAGTCTCAGAGGTGAAGTTTGAGCCGAGAACTTAATGATGGAAGGAGCCAGCCCTGACAAGATCTGGGGGCTGGGGATGTTTAGGCAGAGGAAACAGCAAGTGCAAAGGCCCTGTGGCTGGAAATTCAAGGCAAGCAGGGAAGTGTCTCTGTCTCTGAGACTTCTATCCCTTGAGCTTTCTGACACCCAGTCTCTCTTCCTACCTGGGCTTCCTAGACCTGTCTGCTAAAAACAAGTGTCCCCCTTCCCTCCAGCCCACCTGGGGCTCCAGACTCCTGCCTGTCCAGGCGGTGTCAGGGCCTGCACACGATGGGCTGATGAAATGTGTGTTGGTGGAATGAATGCAGAGGGTGGCATGGCAGGGTGGATGGGGTGTGACCTCTTGTAGTTTAAGGCGCTTGGCCCAGTGATTAGGCCCAACGCTAATGAGGTCAAGGTGGAGGGTTTGATTCTGACACAGCTTGGCCCCTGGTAGGAGGAGCCCTGGATTCCCTGAGTCAAAACCAGCCCCTATAGAGCCCCACCCTGGCTGGGCTGAGCCCTCAACCTCAGCACCTTCGTGTCCCTTCCTATGCTTATGACAGCCTGGAAGCTTCTAATTCATGTTCTGTTCATGTGCTTTTGGTCCATCTCCCAGGCTGTCATGTGGGCTGGGGTCTGTCTCGCTCACCACAGGGACCTCAGAGCCGTCTGGTGCCCAGCATGTGGCAGGAGCAGAATCATTTCCCTGGAACTAGAAAGAGCTGGGGTTCCTGTCTGTGTTGCTCACTGATGCATCCCCAGGGTCTGGCACAGAGTAGGTGCTCAACAACCATTTGTGGAAAGAGTGAATGTATCTACGTTACCTCAGGAAGTACTTCCCCGCTCTAAGTCTCAGGTTCCTCTTCTGTGAGAGAGTTTAACAATCCCACCCTCACAGGTCGAGGTGAAGGGGAATTAAAGGCCATCGCTGAGGTGATGGTGCTCTGTATTCCATAAGGCATGGCAAAGAATTTTTAAAAAAAAAAACAAAAAATGGCCCTAACCAGTTTGGCTCAGTGGAGAGAGCTTTGGCCCGTGGACTAAAGGGTCCCAGGTTCGATTCCAGTCAAGGGCATGTACCTTGGTTGCGGGCACATCCCCAGTAGCGGGTGTGCAGGAGGCAGCTGATCAATGTTTCTCTCTCATCGATGTTTCTAACTCTCTATCCCTCTCCCTTCCTCTCTGTAAAAAATCAATAAAATATATTTTTTTAAATGCTCTTTGTTCAGAGCCACAGGCTCAGGGAGTGAGCTGAAAGGTCACTAGAAGTCACTTACCCTGACCCAGCAGTGAGTTGCCCAGGTCACGTGACAAAGCAGTGACAACCCAGCTATAACCTGCCTGGCTGTGCCTCCTCCAGCACAAAGACAGGTCACGGGAAAGCTCTGCCAGTCCTTTACACCATGGTATAAATAACCAAAAAAAGGTGTACTGAGTAGTGAAAAGGCCCTGGATGGAGTCACACAAGCCTGGGGCAGCAGTGGTGGCCCCGAAGGGCAGGGGATGTCACTGGCTCTGTGTCACCAGGGGAGCCTGGGAAGTTCATTCCTCCCCTCAGACTGCTGTCTCCATAAGGCATGGAGACCTCAGGGACCCACACCTGACTGCAGGATAAGCCCGAGTGCTTTCCCACCAGGGCCTGCCTCGTGGACCTTCGGACCTCACCACTTAGGCTTCATGGTCCTCCCTCGTTGGGTACGGCCCCGGTAGACCTACCCTTTCATCCAGACTGAGGCTCTGCAGCCACACAGCCAGGGCACAGCCCCGTCTCCTTCCTTCCCCGTGCCTCAGTTTCCCACTCTGGTGCCTGTCAGTGATCAGTGAGTGTTGGGAAAAGTGTGATCCTCTTCTGAATCTCACTCAGGTCTCAACTCCTAGCTCACATCCTTGGAGACCGCCCACACCCCAAGTCTACACACCAGGTCCCACCCCACCCCCCATTCATTTTCTATTCACTACTTATCACTATCAGCACCAGTCCTACTTGTCTTCTTACTGACTCTCTCTAGAACACAGGGCTGGCCCAGCCTGTTCTTTGCTGCATTCTGAGATTGCAGTCCAGAGTACGTGCTCAGTAAAAATACTTGTTGAATAAATGAACAACTCCCCCGGCCTCTGTGGTGAGGCCTCACTCCCCTCTGAACACAGGGGAAATAGGCTCAGAGATTGAGGTTCCTTAGCAGAGCTGGAATTGAACCGGGGCCTTCTAACCCAGCGGTCGCCAACAGGTGGTCCCGAAAGGTTGGCAACCTCTGATCTAACCCCTCAGCCAGAGCTCTTTCGTCTCCGTGCCAGGCAGTCCAGAGAGGGTCACAGCGCACACCAGTGGCTGAGCCTGAGTGTGGGTGACTTTCTGAGCCACTACCCCTTTGGCCTCTCAGCCAGGCTGAGAACCAGCTGTGAGGAGCTGTAAGTGGTGGAAACGGGGGCCTGGGGTTGGCTGTCTCAGAAGACAGACGCAGCCATCTCAGGGCTTCCCAGCCCCTCTGGGAGCCCAGGAGCAGGGCTTTGACGGGGGCAGGGATTAGGGTTTAGCTGGAGGGGCACAATTAGCTGTTGAGCCTCTGCATAGAGGTGCTGCTTGATCAGCAGCAGCTTCCTCCTCCTTCCTGCTTCCCCTCACTGGCTTAGTCCCACCTGACTGCGTCACCAGGCTGGGTGAGGCCTGAGCAGTGACGGCGAACCTTTTGAGCTCGGCGTGTCAGCATTTTGAAAAACCCTAACTCTGGTGCCGTGTCACATATAGAAATTTTTTGATATGTGCAACCATAGTAAAACAAAGACTTATATTTTTGGTATTTATTTTATATATTTAAATGCCATTTAACAAAGAAAAAATCAACCAAAAAAATGACACGCGTGTCATAGGTTCGCCATCACTGACTTAGACTGAGCTGGGAATGTCAAGGGGGAAGAAGGGAAGGCGACAAACTGACTCTCCTCCCCTTCCTTCCTCTTTTCCTCCCATCTCCTCTTCCTTCTTCCCCTCTTCCTCCCTCTCTCTCTTTTCCTCCTACTCCAATATTTGCCAAACACCTCTGGGCACGAGGGCTGGGTGCTCGGGACACTGATATGAGTCCTACATGGTCCCTGCCCTCAGGTGGCAGCAAACAAGGGAAAAAACTAATAACCATGAGAGGTGGGAATTTGTTCTCAGCCTCAAGTGGGGGCTCAGAGTAGCAAGCTGTGGACCAGGAGGGAGCCTGAGAGACCCCCCAGCCTAGACAGCCAAGGCCAAGGGAGGCAAGGGCCAGCTGGTGTGAAGACGCTGAGGCCCAGGATGTGTGGCAGGGGAAGGGAGGACTAGGAGCTGGGTGCTAGCTGGCTGGCAGCAGGGGCACTGATAATGGTTCCCATTTTGGGAAGATGTTCTGGAGTCTGGGTGGAGGAATACCAGGGAGCACTGGGGTAACAGCCTGGCCAAGGGTGAGCCCCCCACCCAGTGGTCGCCTCCTACTTGTTCCAAGGGCAGGGCTGGCACAGTGGGAGGTCACCTGGTATTTGCAGTTGGCAGCAATCTTGGAGAAGGGGCATCTGTCCACCTATTTGAGAGTCACAAGAGGCTCCTGGCTTTGGTAGCATCGCTGGGGATAGATGGAGACACCCAACTGGTTGAGGCCGGGCTAGAGCCAGGCCCACTTGAAGTCTGGCCTGGGACTCTTTCTGGGCCACCCCTTGTCCCCCTTCCCCACTTTCTCCTTTCAAGAATATGGGGCCCTAGCTGGCTTGGCTCAGGGGAGAGAGCGTCAGCCTGCTGACTGAAGGGTCCCAGGTTCAATTCAGGTCAAGGGCACATGCCTGGGTTGCAAGGCTTGATCCCCAATAGGGGATGTACAGGAGGCAGCCAATCAATGATTCTCTCTCATCATTGATGTTTCTATCTCTCTTTCCCTCTCCCGTCCTCTCTGAAATCAATAAAGACATATTAAAAAAAAAAAAAAGAATATGGGAACAGTGTTGAGGCCTGGAGACAAGCGGTCAAGACAAAGTCGTAAGCTCAACCTCTTCCAGGCTGTGCAGCCTCTGCAGATACTCCTCCCTCCAGCCCTCAGTCTCCTCTTAATGAAATGGGCACCTCGGGATCCCTGTGAGGCCTCTCTCATCGCAGTATGTGAGGGGCTGTCAGGGTCAGCAGATGGAGACTGAGGCCTGAACCTCGGTGTCAGAGCTGGAGGGGGCGCTTTTGTACACATCGGGAAACTGAGCCTTGGAGAGAAAACTGTACCTGGTCAAGACCCCTCCAGGTCGGGACAGGAGAGCAGTTGAACAGAATGCTTACATGTAAAGGCTGGGTGTGAATCCTGTCTTGGCTCAATAAATATTCCGTAAATGAAAGAAAACATTGCTGAACCTGTTTCATCATCAGTAAAAGGAGAATCCTTAGAGGTTAGTAAGGATTAAGTAAGATGCTGTGTGGAAAGTGCTTAGCACAGGGATTGACACTCAGTAAGCACTTGATTTAATGGGAGTTACAGTGATTGTTTCTCAGACGCAGGCCTCCACAGCTCAGCTTCGTGGCAGCAGGACCTGGCAGGCACACACGGTTACTCAGCTGAAAGGATGCATGCTAAAGTCTCAGTCTGGGTCCCCTCCCTCTGCCTTTAGTCATGGACCATCTGATCTGACAATGTGATTGACACCTGCCTGTTGGGTGGTGGAGGCTGTTTTCTTCCTCTCCCCTCTTTTCCCCAGCCATATGCAAATGATTTCAGTTCAAGTAATGCGCTAATGGAAATCCTAACACATTAATAAATGTTTAGTGAGAGAGAGCATGCATGATCATAAGTAATTACACACTCAACGGAGAAGTTCTGTTGGCACAATTGTCTGGCTCCTTTTCTTCATTTTCCTCCATTATCTCCAAAGAGAGACGCAGAGGGAGGCAGGGAGGAAGGGTGGGGCAGGGGTCCAGCTCCTGCACTCACCCCTGGCTGGCCTCTGCAGCCGCTCCCCTCGTCATCCCTCCAACAGGGACCTTTGTTGTGCTCTGTCTCAATATCTAATCATGAGGGTGGTTTTCGACATGTTCCCTTTCTCCTGCTGTCAGGACTTTACACTCCCTCCTGGGCAGGCAGAGTGGAAGGTGCAGGGAGTGGGGCCTCTGGGATGGACAGATCAAGGACTTGCCATCCAGGTGGGGTGAGCTCCCTGGGCCCCAGCACCTCCACCCATCCCCGTGGCTGTATAATGGAAACCATCACCCTTCCTCACAGAGATGCTGTGAGAACTGAGACAACATATGAAACACGCCTGGCACAGAAAAGGTCCCCAGTAAGTATCAGCTCTCCCTCCCCAGCTTCCCATCTGCTACCCACCCATGCCCTTGAGCTATACTGGTAAATCGGACATTGTTGATGCTCAGGGGAAGGGACCTTAGTGGGATCTCAAGTGGAACCCACTCGTTTGAGGACATGGATGGAGGGAAGGGAAAAGCCTCAGGTTGGTTTGGAGGCCATGTGGGGCGGGGGGAAAGGTGGTGGAGGGGGCCTGGCCCCAGCCAGGAAGTATAACCTCCAGGGAGGGGCCCTCTCTGCCATCTTCTTTGGAGCCAGGTATCTTATTTTCTTGTCAAGATGGAGCCCCATTAAACCAAAATATATGAATAAATAAACCCTGTTCCCCTTCTCACTACCATATTGCCATTTCGATTAGATTAAATTTTAAAAGAACACAAATATAATGTTCCTCTTGGATCAAATTAGAAACAGGTGCACTTTTGCATAAGGAAATTAAATTGCAGACAATATGAAGATTTGCTAAAATGCAGACACTGATGAAAATAAGTAGCCCCTTTATTTGTAATTATTGAGGCAATCTGTTTGCAAAGTGTACATGTTAATGGTCTGACAGATCTCTGGACTCCAGCAGGCTGCCATGAACAACTCAGAACCGTGCTTAAAGTAACAGACTTTTTTTTTAGAAAAATATATGTACATTCTCTTATCCATCTTCTGGTGCTATTTAAAAGGTATGAAATGCCATAAATAGGAATTCCGTGGTTACACAAGGCCTCTCCCTAAAATATAAACTTCAGCTGGGCAGAACACACATTCTAACAGTTTACCTCTTTCTTCTACTGCCAACTACAAGGTGGCCCAAAGGGGATGGGTGGTCCCCAGGGTGCAGGTCACCGGCTGGGGTCGTCAATATGTCTCCGGCAATAGGGGCAGTGGGTGTGCTGAAGTACCAGCAGCTCATAGTCCTCCGAGTGGAACATCTGAGGAGAGACAGCCGTGACTCTGGGCAGCCGCTCTAGGTGTGCATCAGCCCCGACCTGGCATAGACTGTTGCCCTTCCATGGGAAATGGCTTGGCAGTGCGTCAGGTTAGACCACCAGATCTAGAACACCTTTGTCCAAGGACTGGGAGGAAGTGGCCCCATTTTTTCTAAATGAAGTTCAAAGGTGAGTCACACTTTCCCGGCCCTCCCAGATTAAGAGCACATGCAGACAGCCCAGGGCCAGGGGCATGATTGTTCCAGACAGCATCCGGGATGCAACCCAAAGGAGGGAGGACAGCTGAGTCTCTTCTCCCAACTGGGCCTTGGTTGCTCAGAGATCACTTGTACTCCTCCCAGATGCCCGGCCTCCCCAAGGGGAAATTTGGGAAATGGAAAAGCAACAGAAAGAAACTGGACACCACACAGAAGCTGCAGGCAGTGGGCATCGTACCTGGAAGCAGGAGGGACACATGGTGATGGAGGCGTCAGGTAGGAATGAGCGGAAGTACTGCCACTGCAGGGGCGGGGGCCAGCGCTTGATAAGGACTTCTCGACGGCTCATGGAGCGCAGCACCGATCGATTCACTACCACGGGCACGAACTCCGAGCCACCTTGCTGCAGGGTGGGCAGGCAGGAAGCAGGGGGCACTGGTGCCCTCAGTCATAGTAACACATTTATGTGGGCCATGATCCCAGAATCTTTGGGAGTGGCCAGGAAGGACCCCAGAGATTTCCCCCGCCAAGTACCTTGACAGAACCCTGCCAGGTCATGTAGCCCCTGTTGGCCATCTCTAGTGACAGAAAGCCCACCCCTTCCCCCTCCCTGGCAGCCCTGACAGGAAGCAGTTCTCCCTCTCACCAAGGAATGTATACAGAAGAGACCTAAGACCACCCTCCCAATGGGCTTTGCTGGCCTCACAGAGGCACCCTCACCTCAAAACTCAGCTTTGCCGTGAATGGGTCATCATCTCCCATGGAATTCATGGTCTCGTCCAGTCTCAGAGTCTGGGAATCTGGAGGAGTCTGGTCAAGGATAGAACCTGAGGCCGAATAGGAAACAGGTCCCACCCTCCAACCAACATGTGAAGACTCACAGAGCTCCATCCAGGCCTCAGGTGTCTCCCTACAGCTCCGGGGAAGAGCGGCAGGGCTGGTGAGACAGGTTTCCAGATGGAGGAATGTAGGAAACACAGACCTGGTCATACAGGGTGGGACTGGGCCCCCGTGCTCAGGTGGGAAAGGAGGAAAGGGGCTCTGATGGGCTCTGCTGCCCCACAGGGACCATGCCATGGCTCACACGGGCCTGCCGGCCAGAAGCACCATGTGAGCAGAGGCCTGAGGGCCTGCTGTGTGTGGCTGTAGAAAAGATGGGCCAGCGACTGGCAGCTCTCGGAGAAACATTCAGCAGTAGCCGGGTGGTTTGCAGGCCATATTTCTGAGATGGCCTTGAAGGTCATGTTTCATGGAGAAGGGGGTAAGAGCTCCTGCAGATCCCGAGGCTGGCCAGATTAGGCTGAAGGTCCCCAGGGAGCCTCCACCTCTGCCAGGCAGTGGTGGAAGAACTGTGTGAGGCCAGGGCAGCGGGGCTCCCACGCAAAAGGTCCCCCAGAATGGAGGCTGCTGGTGCTGAGTCAGGTACAGGATGTGGCCTCACACAGCAGCAATAATCCAGCCTAAGCAGATGTATGTGTGCAGAGGACTGGTGTGTGGACACAGTTTCTGTCTCTCTTCTTGACCTTTCCTCTGTCTTCTGTTCTTCAAAATGTGGTTCATGGCCCAGTGGCATTGGCATTACCTGGAAGCTTGTAGAAACACAGGCCCCAGGTGAGGCCTGTCCATGCCGCCATGTGGGCCTCTCCACTCACTCAGCAATTGCCTGCCATGTTCCTGCCCTCCCTGGCCCAGCCATCCTCCAAGGCCCTCTTGCCTTCTCCTCACACCCAGGCCCTGAGCTCAGCTGGCACACACAGGGGTCAAGCCGATGCCCAGGATACTGTTGCCTGTTATCTCTTGCCATTTGTTCTCACGCTTGTGTCTTGGTGCCTCCAGGTCAATGAGGGAGACGGCTTCTTCATCAGTGATCCCCTCCTCTAGGTAGAACTCGACCAGGTGCAGCACCTCTGGAAGACACAGGGCACGGGGAGGAGCTGGGGGATGGCACCCTGTGGGAAGCTGGGGGCTGGATACTCTCACCAGGCAGCATGAGAGAGGTGGGAGGGCCACAGAGTTCCTTCCTCACCCAGCGGCAGGCTTCTCTGAAATCAAGTAGACAAGCTGAGCAGCAGGGACACCCCTCCTGCCTGCCCAATGTCCGGGAGCAGGGGTGTGGTGTGGTGGGGGGTTGTCTGTGTGTATGGGGATGAGAACTGGGCCTTTAGCCCTCCTTCTTCCCCTAGTAGCTGGATGGGCTCCTCTCTGAGGGAAGAGGCAAGGCCTCCGCCCAGCTACTGGGAAGGGGCTTCGGATCCTATGTCAACATAGAAGGAACTGGGACTTGAGAGTCCATCTCAGCCTCCCAGACCAAATGCCCAACCAGTAGCCTCTATTCCTGGGGCATTTATGTTATGCAAAGCCTCACACAAGGTTCTGGGGGATGGGTGTTTCAGGTTCGCGCAGCACTGTGCGTCCTGTCTCTGGGAACCCTGAATGACTCTATCTGTCAGGCAGGATGGCTGTCACACTGTCCCCAATTTACAAATCAGGACACATGTGGGCAACAAGCAGTGGACTGAGCCCAGCCATTCACCGGTGCCCCTTCCACATGAGCCAGACTCACCATAGGAAGACGCGGAGAAGACGAAGGGCTGGCGGCAATTGATGCAAACATTGCCCAGGTTGTTTAGCAACGGGTTGTTGGTAGAACAGCGGTAGCACAAGGGCACCAGCTCCTGCAAAAAAACAAGCACCACAGACTGGGCCTAGCTGCTAAGAGGAAAGGCCACCTGGGTAGGTGGGGGCACTGGGCCTGGGGCTCTGTGCGATGTGAAGCAGAGTAAGAGCCTACAGAGACACTGGAGGCCTCGTCATTTGGGGCCTGGACACCTCCTTCACAGGCAGGACTTAGCAGCTCTGTTCTCCTGGCAGGAATGCCAATAACCATGGCCACATTCACCAGCCACTTACTATGCTCCAGGTACTGTGCTAAGCACATCACCTACACTGGCTCTGTCACCCTTACAGCCACTATGGGAAAGCTATTATGTGTGCCCCTGTTTGATAGAGAAGGAAACCCAGGCTCAGAAAGATTGAGACATGGCTAGGAAATGGTGGGACTTAGATCTGAAGCCATGTCTCTCTGATGCCAGTCTCTACCATGAGCTTAAAGAGGGGATTGTGAGAGAGACAGTAGTTAGCTGGGTTGGAGGAAAGAGGGCTGGGCACAGACATGGGGTGGATTTACCAAAGAGCAATAACCTGGTTCCAGAAGGAAGGCGGGCTAGGGCTTGGGCTCTTAGGATGAGGTGAAGGCAGAGCCACCTGGTCATGGAGATGTGGAGGGAGGCTAGAGACAGAGCAGGGCCACAGCAGAAATGGAACCTTCAGAGGGCTAGGAAGAAGATGGGGCAGGGCTGTGGGTTTCAGGGGAGCTGAGCGTTGCAACTGGAGCACAAAGGGCTGAGTGGAGAACAGAGGGGCGGAGAGGAAAGAGCAGGAGTTGGCAAGCCAGGGCTCAGGCAGGCGAAGGGACACAGACAACTGAGAGCATGCGTCAGGAGATGTCCAAAGATGCTGCAGAGGAGGAGCCTGAGAGGGCTGTGCCCTCACCTCGTTGTCATGGAAGGGCTGGGAGCGGATGGTCAGGCTGTCCAACTCGATGGACTTCTGGAACCTGGCAGGGACATATAGGCCCCGCAGCTGGTCATAGGCATGCCGGGCCAGTTTGTAGGCACCCAGGGCCCTGCTTTGCTTGGCCAGAGTGAAGAGTGTTCTCCTGTCAATCACAGGGTTAAGGACAACAAAGCCTACACTGGGGCCTGAGAGTTGGCACCGCCTACCCTCAGAATGAGCCCAGTGCCAGAACACAGCTCATGCTGGTGCCAGGAGGGCACAAGCAGGAGCTTGAGGAGTACTTAGTTCTTTTATGGGATGTAAGTGTATTTCTCGGATATCAAGGCCCAGAGATTTTTTCAGAGATAAAGACAGTGCAGTTTCCATTACTTATTTTAACCTTGCTTGGGTTCTCTGGGCCTGCTTTGGCTCATCTTGTACCCTGACCAGGACAAAATGGCTCTCCCCACCCTGCCCAGCCTGCCAGCCAAGCCCTCCGACTCCAGTTCTGCCATGTAGAACCTGGTCCCAGACTGCCTGGGGAGCTGCCCTCAGGTCCAGCTTACAGAGGCCACTGGGTGCAGCGCACTTCTCTCTGCCTACCCTCCCCAAGGGCCGGGGTGGTTTCTGAGTGGCAGCCTCCCTTGCTCTCTGAGGCCTTCCTCTGAGCTCCTCAGACTGAGGCTGACACTGTGTTCAATCTCAGGTCACCTCAAATGTTGGCTATACTCAGACCCAGCCTGACCTTCTTTCCCAGTCCACCTGTGAACACCTTAACCCACTTCCCCAGCCAGTCCCATGCCTCCTCCCCACTCTCCTGCCCCTGAGGTTCCTGCTCCCCACACCCCAAGTGTGGCTCCTTCCACTCCAGCAGTTATATGGAGGTAAGACTCCTTGTCTGTGTCTTCACTGTGACTCCTCAAAGTCTGGGACTATCTGGAGCTATTCCCAGGTCCCCAGTGGACAGCACAGGGTGAAGCTCAGGGCAGAGGTTCAATCAAACTCTGCTGACTTGAATGGAGTTGCTGGAAAGGTTGGGCGCAGGTGCTCAGACCCCAGCAGGTGTGTCCTTGGCCACTCATTTGCAGGGGTTTCAGTCACTGAAGCCAAGGCTTGATTTGTGGGAGTTTCCTCTGAGATGTAAATGTTGGGCCTGGAACCCTTACATTGGTTCTCAACCTGTGGGTCGCGACCCCTTTGGCAGTCGAACGACCCTTTCACAGGGGTCGCCTAAGACCATCCTGCATATCAGATATTTACATTACGATTCATAACAGTAGCAACATTACAGTTATGAAGTAGCAACGAAAATAATTTTATGGTTGGGTCACAACATGAGGAACTGTATTTAAAGGGAGGTTGAGAACCACTGTTTTACTCCTTTGTCTTCCTCCCTGCTCCTGATCACCTGAGCCAGATTAATCATGGAGCAATCCAAATGGATTGTAGAGCAGGCTGAAGTGATTGATTTGGTCCATGTGCCCATCACTGAAGTAGCAACAAAAATAACTTTATGGCTGGGTCACAACATGAGGAACTGTATTTAAAGGGCCAGAAGGTTGAGACCACTGTGTTAGAAACACCTGATTAGCAACTCTGAGCCCTCTCCTGGGAGGGCTTTTTCCTGACAGAAGGAAGGCCCCATTGGAGCTGGAAAGGGGCTGAGAGAATGGCAAGATTTCCAACAGGAGAGGATATTTATGTCCTTTATGACTTCCTGGACCTTAAAGATTTTAGTCATTTCCTGGTAGTTTCTGGCAGATAGGCCCTCTGCCTATTCTCTGCTTATAGCCCTCCCTGTGGCTTGCACCAGCCAGAGGAGGGAGGAGGCCCCAAGGCCACTGCCTCTCCAGACTGGCTCCCTAGGCAGGCTTCAGCTCCTCTGGCACATCATGCTCACTTCACCACCTGGCCTTTCCATGTGTTAGATACTCTCCTGGAATATCTATTCTATTGTCGTCCCCGGTTACCTCAGCCTGTAGGATGGATATCACCTCCTCCAGGCAGCCTTCCTTGGCCAAGACCCCAGCTGCATTCCACCCTTGGAAACAGCATGCATCCCACTGAACGAGGCCCTGACAGGTCCACCTCTCCCACTAGACGGCAGCTTTGTTGCCTACTGCCTGGCAAGGGGTTTGGTGCACAACAGGTGCTCCATCCACTGGCCTCCCTAGGGGAGTGTCTAAAATTCCAAACCCAAAGGCCTGCTGCTTCTTGTATCGCAGTCACACCCACATTTGTGGGTTCCGGGAGGGCTTGGAGAGCGTGCTGGCTGGAGACTCAGTGCTGGGTCTAGCACGGAGAACCCTGTAAACTAATCTTCTCTTGGCATTAGCCCCTCGGCTTCCCTGGCTGGGCCTCTTCTACAGCAAACAGCAGCGCTGGGCAAGCTTTCTGTCTTCCCTGAGGGCTGCTGGAGAGAGTGAAGCTTCTGCCAGCAAAGTGCTCTGGAAAGAACTTCTCAGGGCCATTAGACAAGAGGGGTGGGACAGAGGGTGGGGGTAAGAGAGAGGATACACTTTAGAGATGCCCAAGGGGGTGTCCTTCGTCAGGCTGTGCAGCAGGAACCTGGAGATGTTGAAGAGGGTTTCGGGACGATGGGAACTGAACGGCTCCTCCTACAGTAAGAAAAGCAAACAGGGATTGAATTCCTCAAATGAGCCACTGCTGGGCCAGGCTGAAAAGCAGATGCCAATAATTCTAAGATACTTTAGTAAATGAGCAGATCTGCTTAATGAGCACCTACTATGTGCAGGGCATTTTATAGCCACTATCTTACGTGGTCTTTAACACAGTCCTGTGAGGGATGTATTTTCATCCTTATTGTACTAACAAGCAAACCAAGGCCCAGGGAGATGATCTGCCGAGGTCACCCGGCTAGAAAGGAGCAGAGCTGGGATTCAAACCCAGATCTGATTTCCAAAGCCCAAGCATGTCTCCCAAGTGGCACTGCTTCTGGGGTATGTAATGATTCCATTTCCCTGAGCTCAAGCTGTCTCCAATTAGCTCGAAAAGAGAAGATACTTATGCAATTTAGGACATGACCATGCTATAAACCTGCAGGGAGGTAGTTAGCCCACAGCATAAAATCACATACCTCTTCTCTGCTCTCCAACAGCGGCCTGCCCATTCAATGCCCACCAAATATGCACATGTGGTGGAGCCCCTCAACTGCTCATCCCTGTGCCCCAGCACCTGGCATAGGCCCTAAAAGATGAGGCACTCAACACACATTAACCGAATGAATACCTAGGGGCTGCCAGAAGCTCAGAACAGCAGACCAGAGGGCATTTTCTATCAGAAAGGGTCCATAAAAAGTTAAGAATACCACTTAGAAGGAATCTGGCACAGTGTGTGCAAACTGAGACTGCTTTAGATGAGAATGCCTAATTCAGGCCAGTCACCCCTCCTCTCTCAAGTGCTTAAATGGAAATAAACTGACATTTCCTTAAAGGTCTTGCTAGACCACTCTCATTATGGAGCGATCAGGACTTAGGCCCTAATTGGTCTAAAGTCACTAGGACTCACTTTACACCACTTCAGTTCAGAGCCCAGCATTCTCTCTCCAGTTCTCACTTAAATGTCTGTAGCCTCTGTTAGTTCCAAGAACCCAAGAAAACCTGAGACTGCATCCTTTTCTGGGTGAGAGCCAGGGAGAAGCCTGCCTCTGGTTACATTGCACTAGGTGTGGAAGCTAAGAAATGTCCCAGGAAGAACAGGGGTTGGGGCGTTCCTCAGGATTAGCACTTCTCCTCTCCTCTCCTCTGGGAAGGAAGCCATTATGCCAGGAAAGGTCTGCTGCTTCCCTTCCCAGTCTGCTCTGCATCAGAGCTGCTCTGCTGGGACCTGACTGCCAAACCTTAAAATACCACCTACCGCCACGCCTTTGCACATGCTGTGACCTCTGCCGGGAATGCTCTTCCTCCTCCTCTGCACTTTGCCCCATCCTTACTTACCTCCCTCCTCTGGGCTTAGGGCTTAGGGGTCACCTTCTCGAGGAAGTCCCTTGAAGGAACTTTACTACAACTTCTTGTTACTAGACTATGAACTCCTCAGAGGCAGGGACTGTGTCCCGAGGCCTCAGAACAGGGCCTGTCACACAGTAGGAATTTATTGAATGAAGTGAGGCCTAATGAAGAAGCCTCAACTGGAGTGCACAGCCAAGGTCCCCAGCTGGTACGAAGTTGCCACAAGCTCACAGATGTGCAAACGTCCTGCACATAGGCTCAGCTGTTACAGAGAAGAGACACCCCATGCTCATGCCCCGAGGTTTAGAGGAAGAAGAGCAAAAAGAGAAAGAGCTGGGCTCGAAGTGGCTCAGGCAAACTGATACTGAGCTGGGGCCTTGACTTGTGAGCCTAAGTGGAGTTTGGGGTCTGCTTTCCACCTGGGCACCTCTTTGCCCCTATTTTGTGCTGAACTCTTGGCACATTATTTGCCTCTGGGGAGAGTCTGGCAAGAAAGACTCCTCTGATAGGCTCTGCCTGAGCCAGCCATCAAGCCTGCATCTCATCTCCTTCCCACACCAGGGGCAGTGGTCTCAAGGGACCTCGTCTGCCCTTGCAAGTCCCTTCAGAGCCCCTCATCTCAGGTGCTCACCTGGAAAGAAGCCACTTTCCTGATTTCAGAGAGGAAGGGAGAGGGAGAGAGAGATAGAAACATCAATGATGAGAGAGAGAATCATTGATTGGCTGCCTCCTGTACATTCCACACTGGGAATGGAGCCCACAAGCCAGGCATATGCCCTTACCGGGAATCGAACCGTGACCTCCTGGTTCATAGGTTGACGTTCAACGACTGAGCCATGTCGGCCTGGCAACCCTCATGTTTTATAGAGAAGGAAACTGAAGGCCAGAGAAGGAAAGTAAATTGCTCAAGGTCACATAGCAAGCCAGCTGCAGAGCTAGGGAGGGACCTCAGGCCTTTGTTAGAACTAGGCTTTCACCCATCTAGGTGAGAGCCCCATGGAATGTTCACCCCAATCACTTTAGATAGCCCTTTGTCTGGCTAACCTAGAGTCTGTCAGAGTCATCCAAACCTGAAACAAGCAACTAGAAAGGCCCAATTTAGCTCTGGCTGACTAATTCAGAAGCCCACAGCTTGCTACATGTCAAATAAGCAGCCAATCAAAGAAAATCAAAGTTCCAAACTTTGTTTCTCAGGAGAAGAGCAGGATTTCTCAGAAGGTCACTCTGCCCAGTGGGTTTACTGAAGACAAGTCCAGTGCCCCTATCTCAGTAGGCAGTGCCCCTAGCTTAGGTGCCCATTTCCGGGCCATCTTACCGTGTACCGGTGAATGGCATGGTAGCAGTGGTACAGCTCAGCCAAGTGCTGGAAGTGGTGAAACTTGTTGAGCATTGTGTCCTTCTGGGCAGGATCTTCGGTGTGCAGTGGGAGGGGAGTAGGGGAACAAGGAGGAGGCGTGTCAAACCAGTCTAGAAGGAAAAGCTAGGCAATGGCACTTTTGCCAGTTGACAGTTCTCCCCCAACACCAGGACTACGCTGGGAAGAGTGGCAAAGAGGTGCGATGAATGGAAAAGGTGCTCTGCTTAGAAGCTGGGGCCATCCCAAGACCGGGAAAGTCTCAGCGTGGCAGAGCACATGGCCAGGGAAAGTCTGTGGATATTTCTCGGAGGTTCTCCCAGAGCCCACACTATGCTCTCTCAGGTCATTCCACTGAGAGAGCACCAGCTAGGGAAAGAGCTTGATCACTGGCACTCAGTCATACCAGAGGAGCCTGGCAGGGAGGGTGGGCAAGGGCCGATTTTATTCATGCTCACCTCAAGCCTCTTTCCACTGTGCTGTTCCTTATTAAAATCACAGACCACTGGCCAGAACAGAAAAATACCAACCTACACCCCAGCTTGACAGTTATCAAACTGTAACCATGGCTTCTGTGAGGCTCACAGCAGCCTTAGGAAGGAGGGGCAGGATTACCCCCATGCTAGAGACAGGGACACATAGCTGAGGAAGGAATTGTGACTTGTAACGTCACCTAGCTGCCTCCAATTCCAGTGTTTTTCCCATTCCTGCATACTGGCCTCGGTCTAGTAAAGAACATCTCTCTGGCCCTAACAGGTTTGGCTCAGTGGATAGAGCATCGGCCTAGGGACTAAAGGGTCCCAGGTTCGATTCTGGTTAAGGGCATATACCTTGGTTGCGGGCATATCCCCAGTGGGGGGTGTGCAGGAGGCAGCTGATTGATGTTTCTCTCTCATCGATGTTTCTAACTCTCTGTCCCTCTCCCTTCCTCTCTGTAAAAAATCAATAAAATATATTAAAAAAAAAAAAAAAGAACATCTCTCTGTCCCAGCCGCTTTCAGAACTCCCTCAGTGGGAAGTCTTGTGAATGAAAGCAACATTGAAACTATTTTTCTGCTTGGGATGAGTGAGAATCTGGAGTGTGTTATTGTAAAGTGATCTCTTCTTCATCTTTTCATTTAATTAAAAACATTTTTAAAACCGGAGCTCACCCAGGTCCAGTTATGGGCTCCCAGGTAGCAGGGGAGAGACATGTTCTGAATTAGCAACACAGGGTATGACCCCACCCCCATCTATAACCCCAGGATGGTCCTCATACCATCTTTAAGCTTATGGGCAAACTGGAAAAAGATGACACATCAGATTAGGGCACTGCAAGGCAGGGTTACGGACAATACACCCAATAAACAAGCCCAAGGCTTTAATTAAAACGTCCCAGCTCTTTCGATGTTTATCTTGGTGCCAGAGCGGGCCGGGGAAAACAAGCGGCCTGGCTGTTGTTTACTTACCTTGAGCTACATTGAGGCACTGCATGGACAGCATCCAGTAATAATAGGCAGCATCATTAAATCTGTTTTCTACCACAGCGTTGTTTGAGAGCTGCTCTAACACTCTGACCGCTTCCCCCTGCCGCCCGGCCTTGTGGAACGCTGGAGGGGCACAAAAACACATACGATTCAGGGAGTTGGAGGGAATTTTGCAGGGCTTGCAAGGGGCTGCTGAGAAGTAGGACATTCATCAGAGCATCTGCCGCACTTCGTTGCTGGGATGCGCCTCTCAGGCCGAAGGCTATAAATAACCTAGGCTATATCTTGAAAAAACTACAGTGAGATATGCTCCCTTTTGGCTGGGAAAAGGCAACCAACTTTGTAAAGGCATGGCAGCAAGAAAAACTTGAGGGACCAAATTGCAGGGCAAAGTCTAAAGATAAAACTGTAGTTCTTCATCAGTGAGGTTTTGCCCCCATCCCACTCCAGGGGAAAGCCTTGTGATTTCTGAGGTGACGCTAACAGGACCTGACACTTGAATGGGTTTGGTGGTTTAGAAAGTGCTTTTGTTGCTGCTTACTTCACTGGGTCATCACAACAGACTTATGAAGACCTTTTTTAATGGGCTCCGCAAGGTGGAGGAAAAGCAGCATGCCAAGGTCACAGAACCGAGCGCAACTCAAGTCCTTAGTCAGTCTTCAACTGAGTGCTTTTTGATGACAACCTTGAAAAAATTTTGGCTTGGTTCCAGCAACCAAACATTTGTGAAAACAAGCCCAAAAAAATCTCTAAATCGTTCCTATTCTATTTAAGAGCAATCTCTTGTACATACTGTGTGCCAGAACCTTGGGATGTTGGGGCTGCCAGAGAAGCACTTCTAGTTGTGACACTTGCCCACATATGGGCTCTCAGATTATCCAAATCCTCAGCTTTAGAGAAGGAAAAGGTCTGGCCTTTGTTCCATTCTCATCTGCAATCTCTCATCTGAGTACCAAGTTACTATGGCGATGGATTCTTGGAAGGGCAGACACAGACAGATGGATAGGTTGATATGTTTTGCCCAAACATGCAGATACTTTAACAACTGGGTTCTCTGGAAAAGCTGAAGCAGTAGAGAAGACGCTGTCTTTCAAAGGGGGCTTTACCAAGCTGAGGAGATTCAACAGGGAGACATTTGTTCCAAAACGTGTCCGGAGGTGGCAACCATATAGACGTGTAAATGAGATGCTATGGAATATGACACACCCAACTTCAATTAGAAGACTTCCTGAAGAGGCAGCAAAATCTAGCAGAAGAATCAGGTTCCCCAGCCAGCCAGCCAGATCTGGTCCAATCGGGCTGTCACTCTCTGGCTCTGTGACTTTGCAGGGCACAGTTAGTGTCTGTGTCTCTGCAGGGCTGCTGCCGAGATTCAAGGTTATGTAGTTACGTGCCCAGCCAGTGCCTGACATGGAAGGCAATCATATTTTTAAATTATTACTACCAATTAAAGTTCTATACTCTCTTTCACTTCTGTTTCAGATACTGCCATACCCAGTATGCAGCCCGCTTTACCTGTGGAAATGCTGAGGAGCTGAGGATACCCCATTTAACTGAGCCAGAAATAGAACCCATTTCTATCCATGGCAGAGGAAAGCGTCAGGTGAGACTGTGCTAGACACTGTGCGAATCCTCTCATTTTGTCCTCGCCCCAACCTGGCTTGAATTCCTTCTTTGTCACTTCCTTGCTGTGATACTTCAGGCAAAATCCCTGTATCACTTCCAACCTCAGTTTTCTCATCTATAAAACGGCACCTACATTATAGGGCTATTGTGAGGATTAAATGGGAAGATACATTGGAGTGCAAGGTATTTTGCTCAGAGGGGAGATAGGACCTGTGTAAGGTCCGAAGGCAGGTGAGTGATGGACCAGATGTGTCTGACTCCAGAGCCCATGTTCTTTCCCTACTTCCCACACCTTCATCAGTAAACACATCACATGCCCAGATAAAGTCGTACATCTTGGTGGTCTACAAAGGGAGGAGCTTGGCAGCCTTCCTGAAATGTGTATCTGGGCAATGCCCTCTCCTGCTCCTTCTGCAAGGTGCCAGTCTGTGTGACCTACCTTTTTGGGCTTCCTCAAAACGATCGTTCTCTGCCAACCACTGAGCGTAGGGCATGTAGATGTCTTCTTTAAACTCAGGATGCTTCTCGCCCAGAGCAAAAGCCTGGAGGAAGGAACCAATGCATTTGTAATAAAAGAGCCCCTGCAGCCCCCTTGAAAACATGGCACTTGGCTGAATCCAGCAGGGATGTCATATTTTGCCAGCTTGACAACTCAGAGGGGGAGAGTGCTCCCCCCACAGCCCCCAGAACTGCAAAAACAAATCAGCTCTTTGAAAACAAAGGCAATTAACAGCTATATGCAAGTGACTGGATTCAATAACAACAGTCTGTTTCTGGACCACAGAAGCAGCACAGAATCGGAAACATTTTATTTTGAGGGTTTGCGTGGGCTCCTGTACCGCTGCAAACAGATTTCTTTTAATTGCAGGCGACACCTAAGGAAACAGAATTGACATTATCATCATCCTGTGTATTAGCTATCAAAGATGATGATGGACTGATGCTGTATGGGACCCGGTGACTGCTTCATCTAAGTCCCAGAACCACCTGTCAGGCAGGAGAATTGGAAATGAGTCACAGGGGAAAGTATGTGGAAACAGGGAGAAAGTTTGCCTGATACACAGCCAGGACTGAGTCGTTCCAAGATGTTGTAATTTATGCTGCTGGAGAAATCTCCTGATAAACTTATCTTGAGACGCCATTATTACCTCTGTCCCTGGCTCCACCTTTTCTCATAAGTGGCCATGTCACCTCACCAGATGGAGCCACTCAGAGGGCAGACAGGAGTGAGACAACTCATACCCAGAAAAGTCCTACACTCTGGCTCTGTAAACTAGAACTTGGTGGGTAGGGTAAGGACCAACGGTGCAGTCTCTAATACTTTCATGGATGAATTTCAATCCAGGACACAGGTAGCCAGTGAGCTAGAGGGTGAGTTCAAGATACAGACGGGGCAGCACATCACTGCTTCTGCATCCTCATCCCAGTCATCTTCCTATTGACCTGGCTAATTCTACTCACCTGCCTTTCATGCAAGAGGAGCCTAGGTCTTTAAGGGGGCCAGGTAGGCAAGAAGGAGGAAGAGGAGCCGACCTCTTAAATAGCTCTGGCAACCTGCACCTGGAAAGTATGGGTGGTGACCTTTTCTGCCACCCAGCAGGTTTTAAATGTCACACAGGTGTCTCTCCATGTCAGACATGTGTCAGCCTGTAGTGCTGGTCAGAGGCAGCTCAGACCAACAGCAGGCAATGGGGGCTGTCACATTAACTCTCACATGCCCAGTCTCTATCACAGGCTGGTACAGCAATCCATAAAGATGCTCTGAATGAATGAACAAGCAAACAAATGGAAAGCTAGTATCAAAAGGCCCGCCAAAATACTCTGGCTTGGAGAATTCAAGGTTAAGTCTCCTGACTGCCAGGCTAATGTTCATTATCACAATGAGGGCAGCTGCTCTCCATCTAAACCCCAAAAAGTCCCCTGTGGCCCAGGGCTCAGACAGGATCCCCTAACCCTTGAAGCGTGCGACACCCTCACCTCATCCCAGTGCTGGGTCTCCACATGAAGCTGAACCAAGGACTTCAGGTCACCAATCTTCAGGTAGGTCTCGGCAGCATAGCCAGGGTTATCCAGCTTCTTGAAGTAATGAGCGCACATCAGCAGGGGCTCCCGCTCGGCCTTGTCCAGCTTGCGGGCAATGTCAATTAACCTGGAGAGGCAAGCACACAGGGAGAAGATGGACTCCTGTGAAAGGAGCCTGAGGCAAGGAAGCGGATCTTCTTGAGGGCAGGCTCTGTACCACTTCATGTTGCTGTCAGTGCTCAATATAGTATCGGCCCCTGGTGCTTGAGAGGGTTATTAAATGAGTGAATACACACCCAGAAACAGCGCCCAGTGACAGGGAGAGGTTGCCTGCTAAAGGACACTGCTCCGCCCTCCCCCTTTTGGGAGTTACTGATCTATCCAGCAGGAACCCGGGGAGAGAAACGAGCATCTACTGATCACCCACTGTATCAAGAACAGTGCCATGAGTTTTCGCATGTGTGATCTCATTGAATCTCCACCACCCTAAGAGGTGGTGCTGTTTTCCCATTTTACAGATGAGGAGACTAAAGGCTAGGGTGGAAGGTGAAGCAACCTGCCCAAGATTCTGCAGCCAGGAAGTGGCAAAGGGCTCTTCCCACCACTGTTTTGAGAATTCTCAGGGAAAATAGAGGCAGAGGCGTGAAAATTCTTCAGTGACGGAACCTCTAGAGGGAGAGGCTTGTGCGGGGCCTGCTCTGAGCTCCGGAAAAGAGGTCTGCAGGAAATCTTGACTGTGCCTCTCTTCCCGGCCAAGGTGCCAACCATGAGTGAGGGTCCACAGGCACCACTGCTCAACACTTCTTCCCAGTAGTGACTGGTCTCCCACTGCTTGAGGAGACATAGGGGCTGAATGAAATGTGCTTGCTCCCTCTAGTCAGGCCAGGATTTAGGGTAAAACCAGCTTTCCCAGGGGAAATGGGTCCTACCCAGCTTGCTCTTTGTGAGAAAGGAAGGGGAGGCAGCTGTAACAGATCCTTGTCTCAGAGACAGGCAAGCTCAGGGAGGCCTGTCAATCTGTACTTAGAATAATAATGGAATCTAAAAATAACACTTCTCAGGAGAGAAACAACACATTTTAGGGAAAGGTGGCACAGGCAGCCCCTTAGAGCTCCCCAGCCCCACCCGTCAAACCAAATGTCCCTGGAGGAGAGGCACCTTTTACTGCCAGACCCGGAAAAGGGCAGAACATGCTGAATGTCTCTTTCCTGAACTAATCTAAGTCTCCTCAAGGTAACCCTGGTACATATCAGTTGCAAAAGAAAGTGACATGAAAAACTAGAGGGAGAGGGACTTAAATCTGTCTGGCTCTCTCCTGTACCATCCCTTTTGTGAAAAGAATAATTTTGGGGGTGAGGGGGAATCTGTGCCTCTTTCTTCAAGAAACTTTATTCTTGGACACACATCAACCACAGAGTGGGGTTCATAGGGATGATTTCATTATTTACCAGCCCCTCTCCTAGGTCCTATCTGGGCCACCACTCCCTATGAAGTACAGTGTGGCTTCCAGAACAACCAACAGTTTTTAAAGTTCAGACTGAGCTGACCTCAGAAACTGCTCCCTCACCTGCTTTCCCTTAACAGCCATGGCAGTGTGTGTACATATATGTACACATGAGTATACACATGTATGCACACACATGCACGTGTATGAGCATGAAGCCCACTTTCTCTGACCTTCCCCTGGAGGTCTGATGCTCTAAGAGTCCCAAGACTGAATCCATCCCCTCTCCAGCAGCCCCACCCAAGCCTGTTCCTCTTAAGTTATCTACCTTGGCAAGTGGCATTACTGACTACCAGTCCTACAATTCCCTTGCCTGGCCCCACCCCCAAACACCCCCCATTCAGTTGGGTCCTGTCAGTTCTGCCTACTCCATGCCTCTCATTCATTCCATCAGCCAGCATATTTCTCCCTGGCCTACCACAGTGATCTGGTCTCTCTTCCTCTAGTTTTCCCTCCACTCTATACCCACTGCCTGAGTGGGCTCCTGACAGCACAGTTCTGATCAGGGGTCCTCACTACTTACTGACAAATCTAAATGCCTCAGTCTGGCACCTAAGGCCCTCCCAGAGTGGCCAGCACAGATCCTCCTGCCCACAGCCAGCTGTCCTTCACTCTCCCCCTCCTACACTTTTTATTCTGACCACAGCCAACCCATTGTGCTATGCTTCTAGCCTGCACATCCTGCCCCTTCCTACTATCTCTGCCTCTTGAAATTTGTCAAGATCCTTCATGCGAAGACTACTCCTAGGAGAAGACATCCATGGTTCCTCCTATGAGAATTCATGTCTCCTTCCCTGACATGCTAGCAAGTTTTCATCTCGTTTTCAGTTCCTACCATTATAGGTATTACTACAGGCCCGGTGGATGAAAATTCATGCACTGGAGGGGGGGCGTCCCTCAGCCCAGCCTGCCCCCTCTCACAGTCCGGGAGCCCTCAGGGGTGGGAGGCGACCCAGCGATCAGGGGAAGGCGACGCCCCAACCCACCTCTGCTGCTGCCACTGCCGGCAGAGCAAGCCTTGGCCGGCCCTGGTTACCTGAGCCTTGGGCGGCCCTGGGCGGCTGGGGAGCTGAGGGGACTGGGGGTCTCCGGAGGCAGGGCCCGGCCTTGCCGCGCGCACCTGTTGCCTCCGCGGGGCTGAGGGGACTGGGCGCCGCCATCTTGTGGCTGTGGGCGCTGCCATCTTTGAGGGCGGGACAGTCAATTAGCATATTCCCTCCTTATTGGCTGTGGGCGCTGCCATCTTTGCGACAATGTGAGCATCAATTAGCATATTCCCTCTTTATTAGATAGGATGGGCATTGAAGTCAGCCAAATCAGTTTGAATGAAGCTCAGCTCCACAATTTCCCAGCTATTTGGCCTGTGTGATCATTTGGTCCTTGAGCCTTGGTTTCCTCATTTGGAAGATGGGCATGGAAACACCCACGCTTAGGGTGTCAGCGAGAACCAAATGTCTGCAAGGTATCACAGTGCCTGGATCACAGGGAGGGCTCAGGGAAGGGCAACTCCAATGCTTGGGTGTCTCCTTCTCCTCACTCCCTTCTATTCTTTCCCCCAGGAATTCGCTAAGCTCCTCAAAAACAGCAAATGCCTCATCCAATCTCTGTGTCTCAAAAACCTAATCACTATCACATTAGTTTAGAGAAACACTATTTCTTTCCTTGTCAGTCAAAACCAAGAGCTGACAAGACACAACATGATGCCAAATGCTTCTTGGGGCAGGGACTGAAAACCTACATGTCAATCCAGCCATGGTCACCGCTGATCTCTATGGCCTTGACATGCTCTCCGGCTGAGATGTACATCTCCACAGCGGCTTTGGGCTCATTGATATTTCTAGCCCAGTCAGCCTGTTTGGTGATTAGCATCTTTGTTTCTTTGGGGTCTCCAGATCCAAGGAAATCCTGAGGAAGCACAACAAACAAAAACACTCTGAATTAGAATTTCCTGCTGCCAGCATTACATCAGGCTGCTGAAAGCTGGAGCAAGGAAGGACTTGTTTGGCTGAAGCAGGCAATCAGGATGCAAGTGTGAGCCCATCCCTACATAGCTGACTGGGGGCAGTCCCAGGTGTCAGGGAGGAGTGCTCACAGGCGGCCCCACAGGTGCTCCTGGGGGGTACTGGGACAGTGTCAAGGACTATGGCCTTCAACGTTTCCTGTCCTGCCCACTAACGCATATTTGTTCTTTAGCTAAACAACCTTTTCCGGACTCTTTGCAGTACTATACACAAACTCTGAAGTGTGGCAAATTTATGATCAGGTTTCTCTCTCTCTCTCTCTCTCTCTCTCTCTCTCTCTCTCTTTATGTGTGTGTGTTTGATATATGTGTGACTACTTCAATACAGTGACTCTACAACCTGGTTGCACAATTTCAAATATTCTAACTTACAATCTTTATTTAGATAATAGGGAGAATGCCACATGCCTGAAGGTGAGGCTGAGCATGTAGTCCCCTAAACTTAAACAGACAAAATGATTTACAGAGTCTAGAAGAGCCCCTTTGTGCCCTCCTCCCCATCACCACCACACAGGAAGTACTATTCACATGTTTTCTGATTCTATTCATGTTCTGTTGCTTGAACTTAGGGCATCTCCCATTGGCTTTGCCCCCAGATGTTTGCCTAGGGCAGATAAGGAGTACAAATGTTACTGGTTAATTACTTCTCAACTGGACAGTATCAATTGTCTGGAGATCAGGTCTGCTGGGGGCTAGGGGGATCGGAGGCAGGGGAAGAGGCCTGGAGAGAATCCACGAAGGAAGAGAGGCCTGTGGATTTGCAGGCTCACAGGGTCAAGTCTCAGAGCCTGTGTTCCTTCTACCACAACAGGGGGCCTCTAAAGGGCCATGCCCAGCTTCCCTAGGTTGGCCCTAGGATGCGTGAGAAACAGCCTCAGAAAATCACCTCTTTTCAGAACACAGTTACCTAAAATACATACGTGGGAGTTTGCCATAGTTGAGGTTTGGTGCTGACATTTTAAAAGGTGGGGCTTTTCAAAAAAGGAAATTGAGAGCTCTGAGCGCCCAGATCTGCATAACTAGTAAGAAGCGGTTTGTCTTAGGAATAATGTACCCTGTAGAGAGTGCACTGTCAACCTCACAAAGTCTAAAAAAAGCACTCCTTTCCCCACGATCAGCACTCACTTGTCAGGAAAGTACAGTCAATGTATGCTAAAATCCTACTTGAACAATTAGCTCTACTTTTTTCTCCATTTGCTTTCAGGGTAATTGTGTAGCCCCTAAAATAATATATTAGATTGGCCTAAGACAACCAACTGTTTTAAATGGAGGAAAGAGCATCATTTATCCTGATGCTGGGGATCCGATAAAAGATAGGCTAACCTCACTGGCCTTTGGTCCTTCTAGAGTTCACAGAGGAGAAGGGGTTTGGAAAGCAGCTACTATCTGAAGATGCCAGGTGGGCCACTACAGACATAGTCTTTACTCCTCGCAAATACTGCAATGTGTACTCTTTATGCCAATGCAAAGCTGGAAACTCTGCTAACCTGGTTGGTTAAATGAGGTTAGCAGCTGGGGAAAACAGGTAAAGAGAACAGAAATAGCCTTCAAAGTGAGTACTCGGTGCACTCAGGGTGACTGTAGTAAGAAGGTTCAGAGGCCAAAAGCAAGCCATAAATTTGGATCATCAATAAGGAGACCAGCCAGGGACACAGTTCATAGGCTTAAAGGGACCTCCTCTAGCCCAACAGCCCAGTCCCAAGAGATCTGACCTAATTGAAGCTGACTCTAACTGGTTCCTTGAAGGATCAACAAACTGGGTTTTCAAAGATTCTTTGGTTCCATGAAGCTAATCTACACATTATCTGGGGCCATGGCAAAGACTCTGCCCTGGAGTGGACAGAAAGAGGCTGTGCTGAGTGATGAATGAGACTAAACAGTGTTCTCATGCTTGGTGATTTTGATAAGGACACACTACATAAGAGTTAAGAGCATTATAATTCCCTTTATCACCATATAAACATGTCACTTATCCGGAAAGCATATAATTTATTTGTACATGGGAATGTAATTTAAAAATTTTCCGAAAACCAGATTGAATCTTGGGAAGCAATTTTCAAATAAACAAAAACATGCCATGTTAATAAGTACTGTATCCCTCCCCACCCCAGACATAATGTGTATATACACACTTTCTCAAATTCAAACTACTGGGGGGTGGGGGAGGGAAGGGATTGAAACAGAACCAACCTACTTGGAATTGTGACCAAAAACTACAACCAAAAACAACCCCCAGAGTATTTACCTTCATAGAGAGGCAGACCAGATGGAGTGTGTAAATAGGCTGCATTTCTGGGTGGGAGACTGTGGATGCACGAAGCCCACCCAAAGTGTGAGGAGGAGCCTCAGTATAGGAGCTGGAGTGGGGCTGACCAGGGAGAGGTCTGAAGAACAGCCACTCTGTGGTCAGGCTTGGCCCATTTCATTTTCCTAACCTTTCTACAGCTTGGCCTTGGTAAAGGGTTTTCTCAGACATTATTTTGTGCAATTCTCAGAACTAAGCTGAGATGCAACTGTCACCTCCAAGAAGAAAATGGAGGCTTAGCAAAGTGAAAAGCCTGGACACCAAGGTGAGAAAGCACTGTCTGCTGCACCACAGCTGCTTGCTGGAAGGTTCCAGAAGTTCTGAAGAACACTGAGAGCCAGCTCTCCTAATGCTTAAATTCCCCCTCTAGGATTCAATCCTTTTGTTTAAGGTTTTGGCCTTGGTTTAGATATGGGTATCCCCAGAAAGAGACACACTGATTTAGGTGTTCTCAGTATGGATGCAGTGTTAAATTGTGTGTCTCTGTGTGTGTAATGGCAATATGGGGGGTTAAAGAAGTTGAAAATGGCAAAGTGGGGGAACCTGAAGCATTTGGATATGAGGGATAGAGTGAAGGAACCACCACCAAGGTGAAAAGACAGGCTGGGGACCAGGTGCTTGTCCAGCTACTGATGACCAGAAACTCCTGGGCCAGATCACAGTGACCCAGACATAACCTTTGGCTCCAGAAACTCATACATGGTGGAAGATAGAAGAGTGCAGCATTAAGGAAAAGAGCAGAAAAAAATGGGGATGATTTTTCACCTTGAACTTGTGAGCTAGAAAATTGCCATTAACAGCCACTAATTGGTTGTGGCTTATGTCTCACTAACATTCTGAAGCTCCTGACACTACCGAGAAAGGCAGGTTAACAACGGCACCTCCATGGAAGGAAGAGCCTGATTGCGCTATGTGCCCAAGGCTCTTTTCACCTTGCATCAGGCTACACTGCAAGTGTCCTGAAGGTCCGGGCTCCTCAATGGTACTCATGCTCACACAAGCCATCAGGAGCCTGCTCCAGGAAGATCTCCCTCGTGTATCCACATCTATTGGGCCCCTCCAAACGCAAGGGGAAATCTCTACCATCAACCATGCAGATGATGTGGGAGCCATGCTGTACCAGCCCAGATGAAGGCACACCATGCTAGCACCAGAGGGCAGGGGTTTTGTCAGTGTCTCCAAGCCCAGCGCAAATGCCAGTATCAGACAGACAGCAGGTGTTTAGGGAACCTTGGCTAGGTTAAATCACACTCTCCTGTATGTAGAACCATTCATGCCTGAGGACACTGATTCTTGGTGGCTTCTAATAAAGTTTTGGAAGAAGTTGTGGGAGACAGCCCTGACCCTGAATGAAGGGGCACTGCGATTCATCTAGCTCTGTCATTGTCAGAGGTCTGAACTGCCATATTCTGTCCCTTTGATGTCACCCTGGAGGGTCAGTTTTAGGTCAGCCTCAACCAGTGGTCACAGATGGTTCCTTTGCTCACCCATTTGCCCACACTCTTTCTGAGGCCATTGCTGTTTTCTGTCTGCACCGCCTCTTGGGGCCAAACAACTGGATACCACAGTGTCAGAACACTGGTGGGTTCCACCTGGCAGCTTGGGCCAGAATGTGGGGAATTACCTTGGCATACTCAAACATGCGGAGGTCAGTGTACATGTCGAGTGCGAGGTTCTCGTGCCCACTCCTCTTGTACAGTTTGGCGGCCTCATGGAACTTCCCCTGGTAGGCAAACACATCTGCCAGAAACAGGTCATTGTTGGTCTCTCCCTGCTTCTTCCTCTCCTGGAAAAATTAGAAGCACAGGAAATGGCCTCTGCAGCCATGGCAGGAAGCAGCCTTTACAAAGGTTAGATGTTGCTATTTCAAGTTAAGCCCCTGGGCCTTCCTACTGGAATCTACACTTGGCTCCTGGGCTGTTGTGTCTCTTACCTAGGTTTCTGGTGGGAATACTTAACAACAAAAGCAGATCTCCCCACCACACCCCCCCTAATGAGTGAAGGTCAAAAGAGATGCAAACTTTTATTTGTTTAATGCAGTGGTTCTCAACCTTCCTAATGCCACGACCCTTTAATACAGTTCCTCATGTTGTGGTGACCCCCAATTTCATTGTTACAAATTGAACATAATTAAAGCATAGTGATTAATCACAAAAACAATATGTAATTATATATGTGTTTTCCGATGGTCTTAGGCGACCCCTGTTAAAGGGTCGTTCAACCCCCAAAGGGGTCGCGACCCACAGGTTGAGAACCGCTGATCTAAGAGGTACCAAAGATGGACCCCCATGTGTGCTGGCAGACTGAATTATAGTCTTTCTGGGACCCTTCTGGGGAAAAAGGGGGTAGGCTAGCTGGTAGGCAGCTAGAAAAGGTTGTCCTATGTCAGTGATGGCGAACCTATGACCAAAGTTTTAACAGCTGGAGGCAACATCCTTACACACACACACACACACACACACACACACGCGCGCGCGCGCGCGCGCTTGCGACCCACAGGTTGAGAACCGCTGGTTTAATGGAAATTCCTCAGGGCTGCTTTCTTGTACATTCTTCTAAGGAAATAACTACTTAGGATGGTGTGTACTGCCCATTCTTTGGAGGCCTCCAAGCTCCTAAGATCTCTCAAGTCCCCAGGCTTGATATGGCTGAGTTGTGACTCATGATGATGGTAGACAAGGAGAAAGTTTAGGGTTTCTTCCCCAAAAGAAAACCAACAAAATAAAAATATAATGAGTCTCACTATGTCCCTGTCTCTAAAGTGAAGATGAGCAATACCACATGCTGAGCACCCATTAGGTACTTCCCATATGGACCCAAGGGTGGGCGGTGCCACCCAAGTGTCACACTGAGGGAAGCTGAGATTCAGAAGAGCGGCAGGTCGAGGGCATACAGAGCTGACATTTGAACTCGGTCTATCTGACTCTAGATGCTCTTCGTACCACAGAAACAAGTGATGTTCTCCAACACGCTGCTATGTGTTTACACACACACACACACACACACACACACACACACACACACACAGAGTAGTGCTGAGGATGAAGAGAAATAACTGCGCACTCCTTCTCCTGTGTTAGGGAACATTCATTAGTCTACAGCTCAAGTATTTGTAAACACTCAATCGCACCCAATCGCTCATCCCCCGCAGTTTCCTTTTGCTTGTTTTCTAGCAAGTGTATCACAGTAGAAGAGACATTAAGTCAAACTCCCAGACAAGCTGGTGAAAGTTTTAACAGCTGGAGGCAACATCCTTCCCCACTGACAGAAATAATTTTTTAAAAAAAGAAAGAAACTAAACAATTTAGGATAACCAGCCAAATAAACTAACCCCTAATCGTAGGAAATGAATTAAAATCTTCATTCAGTAGGCATGGAATTTAGGCCATATCCATCCTAGATCAGAGAGTATCACCATGATCAAGAAATATGGTTTACGAATGTTCACTATGTGTAAAGTCACATGGGCAGGTTCTTTTCCTCCTGTTATCAGTACAGTTACATCTCACCTATCCAAAGGGAGCCTAGTAAGGAACCTGGGTTCTCTGGAATAATACCAAATGCAAGCAACTAAGACCTCAGAGCAGCTAAAATGGATCCTCACTCAGTGACACTTGACTCTTTCTCATGAGACAATTCTTACAAGTTTACTTTATCGACTGCCCAGCTCAGAGCACACTAGATGAGGTGTAGTAAGACCTGGGAAATGACAAGAGGTGGTCCCCACAGAAGTTAGTTACCTTTGCATAGATTAAGACTCCTAGATCCAGACCAGATGAATCACAAATGCCACCCCTAATCCTAAGCAATACTAGGCATTATGGTAGATGGCTCTGAACAAATTCTCACCATCCAGGTAAGTAAGCAACAGGAAGTATAAATGCTCCTTATGATAGTGCTGGGGAAGAAAGTGGGGGTGCATGGGAGGGGGGTGCACCAGAAGCAACTTCTTTTTTTTTAATCCTCACCTGAAGACATGCCCATTGATTTTAGAGAGACAAGGGGGGGGGAGGAAGGGAGGGAGAGAGGGAGGGAGGGGA